GATTCAGGAATGCCCTCCAAGCGGATGTATCTCTCCATCTTCGGTCGGGGGACTCGGCGATTGCCTTGAGGTATCGCTCCAGACCTGCCTGGCGGTCCTGTGTGAGTTGCGCCGAGTTGACGGTTGACTTGAGCCAGGTCTTCGCCGGCAGCGGCTCGGGTGGCGGGGCGCCGATTTCTTTAGTGAGAGTGGCGTGCAGTGCAGAAAAGTCCGAGTATCTCTTCTGGACGACGAAGGACCTGAGAGGGAGGCGAAGAGTGATGTTGTAGAGCGTAAAGGGTTTTGAGGTGCCTTCGCCAGAGACACTGGTAGATGGAATTGCGATCTCTGGCGGCGGAGCCATCTCTTCTCGCACGGGGGATGTCTCTATAGATATCTGTTTTCTGGGCCTGGGAATTGGTTGGATTGAGAAGCGTGGTGAATCGGGTTGTAGAGATTGATGGTGTTTGTTGGCGTCGAGGTTGGGCAGGTTGGGAATGACGGTTTGGACTGGTGACGCCCGACCTGCAGGTGGGCAGGAACCAGGCTCCAGTTATAGCGGTCACAAGAATAGCGCCTTGGCGCACTGAAGGGCGCCAGCCTCCAGGTCCCGTCATTCATCCCGGCCCTTCTGGATGGGTCTGTCAGACAGGCTTAGCTTTAGGTACTACGGGCACATGACGGAATGCAATTCCTCGCTACATACGTACCTAGATAGTTATGCTGGTAGGCCCGGGGAGTATGATGTGCATCGCAATGCATAATTCATTCGAAACCTTGTGTCTCAGATTCATTCTACCTTGGCTCATGTTATGACCGACCTGCGAGTTGACAGTAATCAGAGCTGTTGCGTTTCTGACCTGTGCCCCAGGCACTAATCGGAGCTGAGGTCATATGTTGGTTTAAGGTAAGGTTTGGTGAGGCACGGAGCCCACCCGAAGTGATGACCTATTTCACGGTAGTCATAGGCCTACTCCAGTGGGACGCTGTCGTAACACACGTGCCTCGTGAGTGAAGTTTGGACGTACGCAGATGTATTGGAAATATCACACGAATCATAGTCGCTCGTCAAGCGAAGCTCGAGGTGAACTGTGCCAAGAAACTGCCATTTTGCTGTCTATACAAAGGCTCGCCATGCTTGCTTCTTCGAATTAACATCAGGAATGATCTGGCGCCTAGACTGGCCTCAAACATGCTTGCGAAGGGTCTTTTCGTTATTATGGTATTCATCATTGCTTCATTCCCACAGCCCATGAGCGCCTTCCCATGCGATCCACATCCAGGACCAGTCCCCATCCTGTGCGTCCACGTCTAGATTTTGCCGCACAATTTTTATACACCAAACTCACCCACACAGTAACCCCGACTAGAACGTCTCCTGGTCATCAATAACATCGCCCTCAGCCGGAATCTCGAAGCCTTCCTCTGTCGAGTATAGGATAGCTTGGATCTGCTTGATGAGGCCGTCCTCCTGCTTTTCCAGCTCGGGGTCCTCCTCGACGGCCTGCTGGATGAGTAGCTCGATGTCTCGGAGCTTGCTGAAGTAAAAGTCGCGTTCGCGCTCAAGGCCACCAACGGTCTCCTTGAGAGTCGCGTTCTCCTGCTGCAGAGCAGCAGTGGCAGGCCCGGCTGTCCGAGCGACGCGGGGACCACCGCTGGGCGTGCCACCAGTCCTCCTCGCGGTAGAGGTAGTAGTAGTAGTTCGCGCAGCACTTGGCGCGCCGGAGGGAGGCCCGCTACCTTTTCGTCGGGCGACGGCATCGTATTCGTGGCCAGGGAAGTTGAGATCCCAGAATCTCTTCGTCCACTGGAGGAACTCAAGGTTGTCCTGCATCTTGCATTTGATAAGGGCCTCGACAGGAATAGGCTTGTCAATCTGATGTTTGGCAAACGTGTCTGCGATATGTTAGCGATCGTCGAAGTTGGTTGGTTGGGAGCGCCAGGGACTGACTCTGGAGGACTTTGAAGTTCTGGACATAGGCGTACTCGGAGTTCACATTGAACTTCACTCGAGACATGGGGACATCCATATAGATGCTGTCGAATACCTGGCAGAGCGCCGCACTATGGACGGTTAGCCCCTCAATCGCCACCAGTACAGGAGCTGTCATGTTGCTGTAGAGGCCGCCCAAGGACCAGAAAATACATACCCAGTGCCACATTGCTCAACCTTGGTGATGTTGAGTTGGAGAAGGCTGTTTAGCCATGATACAAGCTCTTGCCTGTTGTTCGCATTGTTGTTGTCAGCACATGCTCTTGACGGAAAAGGGGAGAACCCATTCGAACGGCCGATGCACCTACCGCGACTCGCCCATCTTGAATAACTTGGAGTGAGGGTTCCGGATGAAAATAGTAAAGAGAAGGTGCGTCGGGAAAATTCCAGGCAATATGCTGAAATGGTGTGCGGGTATCTAGATGACGACGTGTAATGCAGCAAGGAGAAGTGTGATAGGAGAAATTAAACCAAGCCGTTTACACAATCATTGGTGTTGAACAGCTGGTCGTCCAATCAACCATGGTGGGGGTTGAGCCGGGAAAACATCGGCGCGTGCGTTGCCCCTCCAGATGTGCAAAGTACCTTAGGCCTGAATTGAGTTGTCGCCTTAGTCAGCACCCTGGGGATGTAAACAAACAATCTTGAACCTCCACCTTGAGAAGCCTGGTGAGGTGCAGGAACAAAGATGGCCGATTAACGTGGGGATGACCCCTCCAACTGTGATGATGCAGTTGGTGGTGATGTAACCCATTTCTTTCGTCAATGCTGTGTCTTACCAGGTCAAAGCGTAACCACCCTTGTGTTCTGGCTAACACCAATCTGAAAGTCAATCTAGCAACCAGTATCATGCTGGTTTCATGTCACAGATCGGTGGGGCCAACAGTGGAAGAAGCATCCTGGAGAAACAGCAGGGAGACTTAATTCATTTAACAGGAAAGAAACTTATATTACCTCATCTAGGGCAGACCCTAACCAAGGCATGAATATTAAGTTCTTTTTACTTGACTGAGGTAGGAAGATGAATTTCTTTCTACTTGACTAGTAGGATGCTATACTAGTTGAGGCAGCCAATGTGAACTTGGATGGTGATGAAACACCGAATAACGCCGACTAATCATATTACATAAATCCCCGAGTAAGTTTCTCTGCTAGCACCGCGAAAGCGGTAGGTTGACTAGACCGCTAGCTGATGTTCCAATCCATCGATGAAGAGAAGAGGCACTCAGGCTAGCGTCATCTGGCCTCGAGGATGTGGATCGAACTTCGTGAATTGGCTCTATAATGATGAACAAGGAACCTAAACCACGTCGCTATATATCTCCCTTAACTCATGCTTGCTTCCTCCAAATATCTCTGTATAATTTCGTTAGATACGTATGAATGGTATCTAACTTGTCATATTCTTCTTCCATTCCACCCAGGCTATCACCTCGTTTCTCCACTAACTCATCAATATGTGTAACAACAGTCCTTATGTTAGTGATTGCCAGTCGAATGGGGCTCATCAAATGGGCAGGATTGCCGTGTTTGTCGTTCCTTTGTTGCCCTAAGGCCGTCTGTACTTGACGAGGTCGTTGTTCAGGATCAATCAGTTCCACGTTGCGATCTCTTAATCTGGCCCTCTTGTGGGTTGGGTTTTGGGTATCGTCCACATCACGGACATGATTGGCTTGTTTGTCGTTCCTTTGTTGCTCCGAGGTCATTGGTAGTTGATGGGATCGCCGTTCAAGATCAAGCAGTCGCTCAGATCGTCCCTCAGCACTCATAGCGTTGGTAAAATCAGAGAAGCCACCAAGTGAAGTCGCGTGTGAGCCACTGCGGTATAAAGCATCATTCGACAGTAGATGGTCGGAAAAGTGTGGGTTTATGGGAGCTTGGCCAGTAAATATTTGGCTAGGCGGGCGCTTTCCTGGCCATGGCTGAGGGCTAGGGGGCTTGGTCACAGGCAGTCCTCTCGTTGGTAGCTCTGCTAATGATGGCTCTGATGGTGGCTCTGATTTCATTCTTGTATGTAGTGGCTCCGTAAAGGCTGGCCGTTGCTGCGGTAGTGTTGCTGGTAGTGGCTCTGATGATGGTTCTAGTCGCAGTCCTGCATGTAGTGACTCTATCAAGGGCGGCTGGTGCTGTGGTAATCCTAAATTCAAGTATCACGGAGAGTTTGAATGAGTCGTGTCGTTGATAGCCAGGGCAGGTGTCACCCTATTTGTGTTCCTATTGTGTTGGGTAGAATCATTCCCCTCCTGCAGCGTCTCATTCGGCAAGATGAGAAGGAAGAGGGAAAAGAGTGAGGAGGAAAAAAATAGAAATGAAAGAAATTGTTAGAGCAGCCATATTTATAATGTGGAAAAGGCCCCTTGTACCTCAGGCCGAAATCATTGGAGCGAGTGACACAATAAACAATAGAAGATCATGTCAATATGCAGCATCAAGGACCAGAATATCAAGACAATATACAGCATCAGGGTTATTGTCTGCTTATTTGTAGTCAAGTTTCTACGAGATGGAAGAATGAAGCTTCATCAAGAAGTTTCTTGATTTAGTAGAGGATTGGCCTGGAGCTGCAAATAAATCCAGTGTAAATCTAATCAGCTCAATCAGAACCTAGGTACCTAGTTTCATTGAAATTCGACCGTTTGCTTCCATCAACTCTAGATATGCTAACCTTCTGTGTAAGATGGTTACACCACCAAGTAAAAAGCTTGAATGAAAATCCCACCCCTTCGCAGAGTCACTTTTTCCTTTTCTTGGTTTAATTCTGTATCCCCCACCTCCTTTTTTGCGGCCGTATTTTCTCTCAAGTGTCGCTCCCCTGATCTCAGGGCTAGTCATACCGCTAGACTCTCTCGACACGAAGTGTTTGAAACCCAAAGATGCAAAAAGAAGTCTCGATTCTTGGTGTAACACCCCTGAAAGTTGCTTGAGGCTGTGAATAGTTTCAAAATACCTCCCGAATATGGTCTAGAGACAGAGAAATAGGCTTCTCCGTGCCATTGGATATATAAAGTCGATGGTGGCCCATCCCATATCAATATCCCTTAGTCACCGTCGCTGGAAAGGAGTCATGATTATCATGGAGACTCTTTCGTCTGACCTGTATGTCATCTGCATCTCTGCGATGGCCATCCCAATAAATGGGAAACTCGGTGAGAATAGCTATCTGATCGAGCCAGGGCATCTCGCTTCCAATGGTAGAGATACACGATTTGTAGAACTTGTGGTTCTTTCGGTTCATTCTATCAAGTGGGACTGTGGGATAAAGGCTTCGAACTACCTTTCTCCATATGGTTATGGCCAACCGTTTGAGGTTTCTTAGACTCTGTAGCTCTCCAATAGCCCGGACGAAGGCAATCAACTACATCAATTAACACAGCTGGTTAGCCGAATATGGTCACGGGATGAGATTGTTATTTTAGGTTACACTTACAAATGCTAGACGAAGGACCTCTCCGGTTGGGTGAATGAAAGCAAATGGCTCGTAATCCAAGGTGGCTTCATGGAGAATAAGCTCGGTCAGATTCTCGAACTTATGCGTGATGTTACTAATAAGATCACTGGAAAGGGATGGAACCCGAACCACAGTGGTATGGAGATCGACAGCTAGGACGATGGCCAAGCGTTGGATTTCCTCCGGGGATTCGACCTCTGCCATGACGTTGTTAAAAGTATCCGAGCGGACCACACTTGAGACATGGAGGGCCTCGAGCCGAGAGCATTGCTTGAGAGTGTTCTTGATGATGGGTAAGGTTCCACAGACTCGCAGATATGGAACAGAGATTCGCACGTTCTGGATCTCCTGGCAGAAGCGCTCTACCTGCTCTGGGTGTAGATGCCGTAACTCCAATGTGAGACATTGTAGCGAGACCATGACCTGAATGGATCTGCAAATCTGTGAAGGGAGGATAGAAACCTTTGACCTTGGAGGGGGATGCAGGGATTGCTCCAGCCACGTTCCACCTGCCGTTGAAATGGGACGGGGCCAAACGAAGAAAGTAGCAGATCTAAAATGCAGTCAGTCATCTTCACATACGAAGCTTACACAAAATATAGAGAGTGAAACTTTTGCATGATGAAAACAAGCTAATGTGAAACAAAAGCGAACACTTACCGGATGGCGCAGTATGGGTTTAGGTTATCGAAGAGAGAAATATCACCCCGAAGAAACTCTTCAAGTTGAGATGACACCCCGATATCGCCATTTGAGAATACAACACGCTTATGGACGAATCTAGCCAGATTGAATCGCATACGCGATGATGTTGAAGATAGAGCCTCTAACGTAGGGAAGTCGCAAAAGGATGCGATCGTCCATTGAAGCTCTAGACATAACTCCTCAAAGCTGGGTGCCATGTTTGAATACTGCGAAACTGTAGTTGAAAAGCTGGAGAAGTATAAGGGGAGATTAAGGGTGAATGATCAGAATGGAAAGATTGCGATTAGATGGTAGAGCTTCTGGGTTTATGGTGATCAAATGAAGTTGCATTTGGTAGAAGGATGATGTAGGTAGTTGTTGCCTTAAAAGGTTCGTGTTGGTTGTTCGAGTATTGTCTGTCTGGAATAAGAATGCAGTGAGACAAGGAGATGGAAATGCGAAGCTTCACCGAAAAGTTTCTTGGATTGTTAGAGGATTAGGCTATTGTAGCAAAACAATCTAGTGGTGATCCTCCTGGCGCTCTCACTACGGTTGCAACTGCCCATGAATGCAGGTGGTGCTTGCCGTTCTTGCTGAAAGTACTGATCATATCCAACCCCATTCTCACCAATTCTCACCAATTCTCAGCCATTCTTGCAACGTCAACCTACATAATTCTAACAACCACATTTCCAATCCTTCCCATCTATACACCAGAGAGACTATTCGCCCGGCAAATCCCCATCAAAATGCCTCCCGAGCCTGACTGGCTCAAGTACACCGGATGCACGTCGTTCCGTGAATTTGCATTCATAGCCGCGCGTAATAACGCTATCATGAGAGCTATCCACCTATCCCGAGCAACGAAGGTTCACGAGGAACAAATGAAGAGGGCGTTTGCCCGCTTGAATGAGGTAAGTTTCCCTGCCTTCAAACCAGTTACTGAGGTAGCGTTGCTAAAACATATTACCCAATAGGCCAAAGCAGCCACAAAAAGACCCAAAGATACTACGCGCAGCATAAACAATGACGGTAATTCTGACTTGCTTTATGACGCCGATGATGAATGTGAAGAAAAAATAGACGTCTTGGAGTCTGGAGACAAGGAAGGCGATGAGACGGATGCCATAAAAGAAGGCTCAGATGAAGTTGTGCCAGGCGCTGAATATGGCACCGAAGCCGAATCTCAAAGAGACTCATCAAAGCCTACGCCAGGAAGCGAGAATCTCGTGGAGTCAGAAGAGCAAGAGATTCACGACATTGGAGGTCGAGGGCCATTTGCTCTTCATTCATCTAACCCAAACAATTCCACTCCGAGTGACAATGAGGACGGGGATAATGAAGGTTACGAGGCCGGCGAGGACGAAGAAGAAGAATAAATTGCTAAGGAAAACGAAGGAAACGGTGAGAAGACGAACATGGATGCGATTGGTTGATCTGTCGCCTTATCATCGAGTTGTGATGCCGAACGTGAACGATCTTCATTGATCTGTTCCGTTTGCAGGAGAGTAAAGGATGGCCTTCATTGATCGGTCCCCTCTTCTGTTCACTACTCATACCCGCCTGCGTAATGGTCTTTGGTGATCTGTTACCATGCTTCTCTTTCTTTCTTATGTTTCACGTTCTGGGTCATTGCTATGGAGATTACATTGGGACATCATGGTATTGGAATCAGTTCACGGGTTTTCATCTCAATAGCTTATTTATCACGCCCGGCGGTCTTGTTTTTCTCGGGGACATGTTGTGGGCCTATCGCAACTTCCGTGCAACTAGCTAGGTTAATCTTAGCATCCCTCATCATCTCATCAATCGAATTCTGTTTTTCTCCAGGATCATCAAAATCATCGTGATCCCTGCGTGTAACAACTTGGCGGCGATGTAGCGCATTATACTATAGAAACTGAATTCCAAAAGCGCTACTCAAGAAAGCGTCCATTCGGCGCGAGACTACCCGTACCAACAGTCTGAGAAGCGAAATGATGAGCAGAAAAGATGCCACTCAGTTTTGCTGAGGGTCGATGCCGGATCTCTGGTTTCACCAAGAAGTTGCTCATATCATGCCTTTCTTGTTCAAGAACACCTCAACTAGTATGGACAGGACCCGGGTCTTCATTTTGAAGCAACGGTGGGATCACTTTTATTTCTATCCGGTGGATGGCATTGTTAATGAAAGGTTCTAGTGGTCCACCGATCATATAGGTACCGAGGGTTTGGGAAGTGTTTGCCATAACCTTCGACGACGTTATGGTGACAGTAATAGAGGTGTACCGTGATCAAGGTGGTAGCTTTTCAAGACTAGGGAACCCATACACGAAGCCCAGGGATAGAATCGACGTCTTATACCCTTAGATCAAAATGGCCATGGGGGAATTTAACCATTAGCCCATATGAGGCTAATGGCATAGCCATCTAGGGTTCCCAAGTACATTATCTATGTCATCTGTTAGTAAGGTATAGGACATTTGGCTTGCAATATCGGAACAGTCTATACAATATCAAAACAATCACCACAGTATCAAAGCAAGATACAGAAATTAGTAACATGATTAACAAGATACACAATCTGGACTAAATCTACTTACAGTACCTAGTAGCACATGATAAATCTGAGACTCTCATTCTCATCTTCGAATGGGAACGGAAGTATGAAAACCATCCGTTCTATGGGTTTCCTTCATCAACAGAGCCTTGAATATCGGGATCATGAAATAGATCCTCGAACAAACAGATTCACAGGTCTAGAGATCCGGTTATCAGCCTGTACCCGCGATCGATTATAAACACGTCGACCGACGAGGAGATTGCCTGGAACCAACATCCCAAAGACTTCAACAAGATGATGGAGTCCATGGTGAAGGACACTGTGCGTGCGATGGGCAACCATGGTCCACGTGCCTGTTAGCACGACGAGAGTATGGCCTTCTACACCGGGAATACTCGTGTGCTAGTGCTACTTGAGATTGCTTTACGCGGCTAGAGACGGCCATGTTTCATCCCATGCTTAACAAGCATGTGGAGGTCTATGAGACTATCGAGTTTGAGACTAACTACATTGGATTCTTGCTGGTAGGATGAATAACAATAGAGTAGTAGGTACTGCTCTTAATGTTAGTAGGAGGGAAGAGGTAGACCAAGTGCCTGTGAGGAATTTTCCACTTAGCTATAGCACCCTTATTGGGTAGTGAGCGCTCAACCTTAATAGCTATAAGGTGCTAGGAGCAAGAAGAGTAGACTAGCTTAGCCTGTGGCTTGAAGTTATAGGCAATAATAATCATTAAGGTGTTCATCTTAGTAGGCTTCATAGCCCTTAAGCAGGACTAAGAAGGGGAATATATGTCATGCTTTAGAGTTATTGGGTGAGCGAGGAGGTTCTAGGCCTTGAGCTTCTTGAGCTAGTTCTGGCAGTTGTACCAGTGGTTCTGGGACGGCCGCTTGTTGGTGGTGTGCTTTCATAGGCTTGATGGCATTGTCCGTGATCAAGAACGATCAGTAAGTCACTATTTCCTTGTGATGGCATCCCTCGCCGCATAACTCATTGCTTTGATCGTTGCCGGTGCGTGTTTCTCGATCGTGTAGTCTTTGTATGTTTCACTGACCTTGTGTAGGTCCCATTGTTTTCCTGTCCCAGAGTGGTAGAGGGTAGTCGACGAGTGCTCGGTCCGCCAGATACGGGGTGCTCAAAGTATGCATGATTGCGATGTGTTGTATTTATTGAGTTCACGTAATACCTGACTATATAGGCCATCATATTGTACGCATTCTGTGATGCTGCTGTTCCCAAATCCCCTATCTTCGAGTTGTTGATACGTAGAATCCTCGACTACTTGCGGAGTATTACGACATGGCATTTTGACACAATATCAAAACAATTAAAACAAAAACCAGTAAAATAATCAAGACAATAAGCAATCTCAATTTATTGTTTCCTTGCTATTGTCATTATCAGTCAGACAATACGCTCTTGACCCCATTCATGAGCAATTGGCATCATGAAGCCTAGGTATGATGTCTGGTGTGCCAAATTTTACCAACAAGAGAAACGCTGGAATCATTCGCCCATCTGAGTATGTGGAGGCTCCGATGAAGTAGACTTTCACTCCGTTGGAAGTTGAGGGCAAATATGCCGAACTATTGACCAGCCTCCGCGACATCAAAGTCGAGCTACTTGTCTAAAGGAACTATGGTATATCGCTAGGTTAAACAACCTTGGGGAAGCGTGCGAAATCATCAAAAGTTGTATTAATGATGATCAATCTAACATCGAGGTCGAGAAAACGACTAAACACAAGCGTAAGGACGCTTACTCTGATCATCTGATGAAGGAGCTTGTTGGTATCTTTGGTGACTATTCTTGCATCGACAAGAGGAACGAGCTGTGCAAGCGACTCGGTTCGCAAGGTAATGTACTTTAAGCGATCTACCTATCTAAGATACCTTTACTTCCGGTTCCGGGTACAAATCCGGTGATGCCGTCGCCGCTCCGGCCCCGCCTTAGCCGTTGACCGCGCCTTCCTCCCGAGACGGCGACGACAAACGGATCTACAACAGGCAATGAATTACAGCTTTGGACCGCTAGGCACTCAAGAAACTAGACGAAGATTCAGAAAGATGGTGATGGAAGCGAAGCAGTAGACTTAGACGAAGTTATCCAGTTACGCAATGATTCAAGCGTAGTTAGGATGCCAACCCAGGCAGAATGAATAAAGGGACTCCTAAACCTCCCATCTCTCTATGAGAGGAACTGTGCTGTTCGATCTTTTCTAGCATCTGGACATGATTCATGGTACTGCTCTTTATCTTTTCTGTATTTGTCTCTAGAAAAATGACAAAGTAAACCTGAACGATCGTTGCGGTGTATATATAATCCTAAACCTATGCCATGAGAGATGAAAGTCACAAAGAAAGCGCGCTTTCTGCCCTTAGATAACCAAACCAAAAAGTATTTACAATTTTCTTGCCAGATCGAAAAATTCGAGGCAAAAAAAAGAAACCCATTGCGACACCCATTATTACCTATTAACCCGTCCCATTTTCCTCTCACTCTTCTTCCACCTCCCCTACGCCGCCGTCATCCCAGGATTTATCACCTCCCAAATGGATTCTGGTACCCTCCTTCCAATTCATGCCGCGTGTTGTCGCCTGACATCTCAGATGCGGCTATAGCTGACTGGGGCGGTGGTGAGGAATGTGGCACGTATGGCGATTGGCGGTCTTTCTGGCTCTCTGCCATTGACCAGGCAGTGGCACTATGCATCGGCTTGTGGTAGTGGGATTCTGAGGTGCCATCGGATGCAGGAGGGATGCCGTGGGCGGGAAGCTCGGTGGCCGATCCTGCGGTGGCAGTCTGGTTGCGGCGGCGCCACCAGAAGAAGAACGCGGCGAGGGCGATGCCTATAATACCAAGAGCAACGCCGATTCCGATTCCCGCAGCGGCACCTGACGATATTCCCGAGCTGGATGAGCCGGAGTTGGATGAGTCGGGAGATGAGGTGGCGGCGGAGGAGGTGGTAGCGGCGGAATTGGTGGTGGTGGCAGATGCTGAAGCCGCGGATGACCCGGACTCTGTTGTTTTAGATTCCGATTGACCTGAAGTCGAAGACGTAGGGAGCTGTTCCGGTCACGTGGTTAATATAGTGAGTTGATGGAGGTTGTGGAGTTGAGGAAGGTTATGGAGTCGATGGAGGTAATGGAGTTGACCAAAGGTTTGGGGTCGAGAGAAGAGTACATACATTAGTGAAAGTCGTTGAGAACCCGCCGTCGTTTATTGCTTCGCGGCTGCGGTAGAGCCACCGTTGTGCTGGTTGGTATACACTCGTATCGATCTGATTGCTCATGAAAGGAGGGTTTCCCTTGTGACAACTAGATATCAATGTGAGTTAGTCTGGGTCGGTCATGATGGATGACTGTTAAAGCAACGAACTCAAGATAGTAGTCTGTCCCATTTAATTTGTTCGTAAAACGAAGAAACGAATACGTCTTGTTGCCCCAGTCGGAGACATCCCACTTCTGCTCATCGGCTCCGTTGCTGGTGACAAAGCAGGGCTGGGTCTTGCCATCGGCGATTTCGTCTTCCACGTAGCAGACACTGAGCTGTTTACGAATGCCGGTCATGGAGTTGCGGATGGCGTAGCGGCCCTTGACGTTGTCGACGGGAAGAAACTGGAAATAGTTCTTGTTCGCCGCCTGCATGGAAAGGAAGCCACTTGTCGTGTCGACGGTGAGAGAGGAGCCGAAACTCGTGGACCCGTAGTTGTCTACTCGTTCCTCCGTTAATTGATACCATGCGTTGCTATCGAAGTCATCTTTGACCGTGAAGTCGACCATGGCTGCGGTGGCGATGGTGGTGGCGGCGGTGATGGTGATGTTGGTGGTGACGAAGTGCGTGTTCCCACAACGAGAATGTCGCAAAACAAGTGAAAGGAAAAAAGAACTAAAAACGCCAGCACAATGCAAAGCCTAAAGTAATTTGCCGATCACTCAATTTCCCTGGATCGAAGCGAGCGGCGTGAGTGACGGTAGGGGGGGACATGACGCCCATAATAACTCCTCCTAACGCATGGCCGCTGGGGGCCCTTCCAAGTCTTCTCCCCTCCCTCTGGGGCAGGTTCCCACCCAGGCTTATTAGATGAAACAAGGGCCAAGATATTTGAGAGACCGGGGGGGGATGATCTTGGTTTGCCAGCTTCCTCGCTCGGCGGGCCAGCTCAGCGCCTGATGCTCGCCGCGTTAGACAATTTGACACCGACAAGGTTGATCCTCTCATAAAACAGACTAGGGCTGACATTTGAGTAGCAGGATGGATGGAAGCAAAGTCACTACCCGCGCTTGGTGCTTGCTTGGCTCTTCGCACCGGCGCGTTAACTCCGCTTGCTGACAGGGCCAATGTCCACGGTCGAGCCTAATTAACCCGTCCCACCAACTCAGGCGCCTGGCCGCTCCAATGGGCAGGGAGGACGTCCGCAATACGCTCGGCAAGGAAGAAGGACTTCAGTCTCTCTCTGCGTCGATAGGGCCTAGCTCCACAGGCCGCTGCATCCTCCTGGGCATCCGTTTCGAGGCAAACGGCGCGATCCCGAAGGTGATTGGCTTAATCAAGCTAGGGCTGGACCAGGATATCGACCCAAAATTCATACGCGCAGAAGGCCCTTGTCGTGACATGTCACTCGTCCGGAATGTTAGGTGCTTGCAGAGTGAGATGAGGTCAGGTATGGCCGTTACACTATTTCGACAGGTATCAGGAAACAAAATAGTCAACGAAAAGACAATCGTCATACAATGATAATGATTATTATTCTGTAAATTGTAATTCACTCATATTACGTCCAGGACGTACAAGCATGGGTCGCGTCGAGTCCCGCTCACCATGTTAGTAATACTGTGTTTGTCGAGCACCAGAAGAAGCCAGCCAGGAAACGAAGCCAAATTATGCTTATCATAGGACTAAATTATATCATGCCATCTATACGCCGGTCTGCCCCACGAATACACACAGCCCATGTCGCGTGATACCGCTATAGAAACGGAAGGGGCTCATCTATGAATCTATCCAAGAGAAATACAGCGATATTCGTATATACTCACCTAGACATGTATCTCCTGTTCGTCTCCATCTCTTCCTTTGCCTTCCTGACCAAGCCCGCGGCCTCCTCCACAACGTCCTGGCCTCGCCGCCACGTATACAGCTTCACTCCCAGCTGGGCGAGCTGATCTTCTGCCCGAGCGAGCCGTCGATTCCAGAGGTCTACCTTCCTGTTCAGCGCGCCCTGTGGGCCCAGCGGTGGCGAGCCCGGTGGAGATGTGGTGGGAGACCGCGTCGGCATCCGGGAGAAGCTGAATGACGGCTGCGGCGCTGCAGTCGACGGCGGCGGGAGGGGATCATAGTCGACATCGGAATTGTTTGAAAGGGTCCGGCCCGTGGAAGAAAATTTAGGACTCAGGCTCTTCCAGCTGGATGGACGCCGGCGGGGCGGAGGCGGAGGCGGCGGCTGCTTACCACCTTGATTGGAGTTTCTCCCAAGGGTCTGGTCTGAGGAGTTTTGCATATTAGCTAGCGGGTGCTGTCCGGGGACGGGTTTCCTGGCAGGGAGCGGCGGTGGCTTCTCCTCGTCCGTAGTCACACCCAAGCCTGCATTCCCATTCAAGCCCACTTGGGACGGCGTGCTCCTTAATGCCGTGGGCTTCGTAGGTCTTGGGGGCGGCACTTTCTTCGCCAGCAGTTCGGAGGCATTGTTGCGCTTGGGCTGCGGGTCCTCGGAGAGGTCTATCAGGTCGCCCATGATCGGGCCACTTGATCTTGGTGACTCTCGGGGTGTCTGCATGGCCGAGTTCTGCCGCGAGGGCTGGGGTCTCGTCGACCCGTTGGCCAGCGAGATGCTCGACACTCTCCGGCCAATTGAAGGCTCAAAGAAATCCGTCACTTCGGGTGTCGTCACATCCCGGATAAAAATAGCCAGAACCCTGCCTGGGTTGGCTGCGGCCAGCTCCGTATACACTTCCAAGTCAGCCTCCCCGCTGTCGCCCACGAGGAGAAACTTCCTTTGAGGAAAGTCTCTCATGAGCCTGTCGAGAGTGGTCTTCTTCCGCTCCGCAACAGGCTCGAATATGCCCTGCAGCATGCCGGTGTACTGTTTCAGATGCAGCGAACCCGGTGGTAAGCCAGAGAGCTTGAAGAAGGTAGAAAGGACAGGGAAGAGCTGCCAGGGGCTGTTGGAACAGTAGTGTATATTGACGCCCAGGGCCGCCATCTCCTTGTACCAGTCGACGACTCCTTCAACTGTCAGCTCAGATAGATCTCTCACGAATGCATTTCTAAAAATCTCCCTGGCGCCCCCTGAGATGTTCGAAACCTTGATCGTATCATCGACGTCGCTAATCATTGTCACGCCTTCTGGCTCAATGATCCTGACGGCTTGGATGGCGGACAGGTCTTCGTTTGCCAGTACTCGGACATGCGTCGGGACAAAGTCGAGAGGGGCTCTCATGGCGAAGTGGCCGGCATCATTGGTCATGACCGTCCGAGACTGGGATTTGGTCTCGTTGTAGAAGAAGACGGTGATGGGCGATGCCACGAGCGGGTTCGTCATGAATGGCGCAACGCGCGCGAGGAGATTTGCATTGGCCGCAAGTAATTCTGCTTCGGTCATCTCGACAGGTCCCGTAGTGTACTGCGTTGCAGTCTGGCTCGGGCTCGGCGGCATCGAATCCGAGGCTTCGCTCCGCGCTCTGATGCTGGCAGGCTCAGCCAGGCCCTGCTGAGGGCTTTCGCTATAGCCGCCTCGGTACGCCACCCGCTTCTCCTGTTGGCCCTTTTGCTCGATTTGTGCTGCCTCCTTCTCGATCCGCTCCTGCTCTTCGCGAGTGCGAGGGAGCCCACCCGACGCATCGTAGCCGGCCGAGTCTCCCCTCGGGGCCGTAATGCCGCTGAGTTGTCGGGCAAGACCCAGCAGCATGCGATTGCGCCTCGTCAGCGGCCCTACCAAGGGAGAGTACACCCACCCTCGCACGTCCACGTCCACAATGGCCCTCTTGTCCTCATTCCGTTCCCATTCCTGCCTCCAGTAGTCCTCCTCCGACAATCCTGCAGTTGGAGTCTGTGATTGTTGTTGTGCTGTGATTTTGCTCCAGTCCTTCTTGATGTGATTCTTGGCGTAAGACGGGAACAGCATCATCTGTTCACCCCCCTTCGTCACGATGTCGACGTCGGGGAAAACACTCGGTATATGCGGTATGCTGTTCGTATCCGAAGTCCCGTCCCCGCCCGTCCTGGTCTGCGCATACTGGTCCCGTATCCCCGTGACAGCCTGCTGCCCGCTCCTGTAGAGCGTCCCGGCCATGGCGGCAATCCTCATGCGCCGGTAGCCTCTGTCGCCAGGGTTGACCTGGCTGTCACCCGCACCGTAGCCCATAGAGGGCCCGCCCGTTGTAGACATTCTCTGTGGCCGTGTGCCCCTCAGCGCCCGCCCATCTTTGGCCGCCGGGAGTCTTTGATGAGGTCCCAGCAACAGCCGCCGGCTGTGCCTGGCAATGTGGTCGACGACCCGCCGCTTCTCCTTGCGTCGGCGCTGGCTGTAGAGTATGTAGCGGTAGATCCGGGACTGGAGCTTGTGCTTCAGGGAGGGGAGTGTGTCGAGGCGAAAGTTGAAGAGGCTCTCGCGATACCGGTTTCGGACGGCACGAGCGAAGACGTATCGCAGAGGACCTTGGGTGTGTGGGTGCGTCCGTGGACGTCTCAGGGGCCAGAATCTAAAAAAAGCCAGCTTTTACTGTTTTTGAGCCTCGGCAATTGAGAGAAGAAGCACCACTCTCTGCGTGGTGTGTTGATTCTTATACTCGAGGGAGCGTCGAGGTGGTCTCTGCCTCGTGGGGGGGAAGGCAAGTGGTTGCTAGCTCAGGCGCAACAGTCGTCTGATGGAGGATGGGCCCGGCAAAGTCGTGTCGAATCCGAACGTGCAATTGCAGCTGATGGGCGATAGGGCCAGCGAATATCATGTGCTGGGTGTATCCAAGCGTGATCTCGTGATGCGGAATGCCTGGTGGTGGTTGTAGAGGGGGTCAGCTAGGGATAGATGCTGTAGTGGGCACTATGTCATAGAGTAGCGGCTGCACTGTGGATAACTGCGCGGCTGATGGACCTGAGACACGGAACGCAGCCTCCGCCGTTAGCATTTATGACAGCTATAACTCCTGATGGCGAGAACACCTGGAATAATCTTCGACATGATTTCAATATTCCGCTTTACGAGAAGATTTGCATATTCCTTACCATGAGTTGACTGCCGAATTCCCGTGTCATATTCTATATCTCCGTCTAGTCCCTGAGGTAGTATCCGTCCAGATGCGAGGTCCTATCAGATGCCGCCAGAGTGCACACGCGTAGCCTGGCACCGCATCTTCATTGGACAGCGCATCCCGACTAACGAGATCTCAGATCTGAGGCCATCACGTTGCTCCATCAAACGATCTTAAGTGACTGCTATTGCTGATGCCGCATTACGCGAAGCTATATACTCTCTATTATACCTCACCGAGTTTTCTGGAATGCCCTCAATTCTCTGATTTACCTCTTACCCCTGCCTCGTCCACGGCCCCGACCTCCTCGACCTCCTCGACCTCCTCGGCCCCCTCTGGCTCCTCCTCTGTCCCCCCCTCTGTCCCCCCCTCTGTCTTCTCCTCTATCCCCCCCACGGGCGCCTCCTCTATCTCCTCCACGGGCGCCTCCACGGGAGCCTCCCCGGGTTCCTCCCCTACCCCCTCGGGATGCTCCTCCCTTTGACGACTTGCTTTTGCCATCACTCTCACTCGTCTTTCCCTTCTTCCACTCTCGG